TCAATGACACTAGTATATAGAAAGCCCCCTGTTATACAGAGCATTTTGGGCAAATTAGGTCAGTTTTGTCCCCAGGATGCAACCCACACCAGTTGACTAACACCTAGGTACCTATTTAACTGATAAATGAATAAGGACAGCAGGTGTCTTATTAAGGAAACACATTCTAATGTTTCCACCTGTGTTGGTCCAGTGCTGGAAAATTGGTGATATACTACCTGTATTTCCTCTGTCTGCAAAGGGTTGCATTTAAGCAAATGGTGAAATCATGGATACAGAATATGTATTTCAGTAAAGATAATGATGCTGAGATCACATTGTACTGTACAAGTATGTGAATTGTGGATCCAAAGCTGAGCTATGAGTTATAGTCATTAGGACATGTAATACCTACCTTACTGTCCATAAACCTGTGAACATGACTCACTGATGCAGAGGTATTACACAGATATACAGTTACTATTTACAAAAAGAATCTCTTAGATGTGTTAATGAAAAAATGAGGTTTAGTTATTTGCCACATGATGGTGAACTTTTTAATCCAAGATAATGAAATATAGGGAAACTTTTTTTGCTATGAGAGTGCTGTCACAGCAAGACTGTGTTTATCGAAACTTGGGAATACAGAAAAATAAGCCAAACCTCCCTTTATTACAAAATTGTTAAAAAGCAACAATATAATCATTAAAAAAAGCTGTAATACTTGGTACTTATTGATATTTTGTCATCTCATGACTTTGATGACTGTTTGAAGCCAGTTAGGAATACTTTCACCCAGATTCCTGAAGTAATCAATGGATAACTAATAGACCCAAATGTCCTTGATCTGCTGCTGCAGGCATGGCTAAAATGTTGCAGGATTTCATCTTTGTCATGATATTCCAGGCAGTCTCCCTAGGATTGATGTCCAGACTAATTCCTGGCCACTGTAAAACCTCAGTTTTTTTTTCTCAGCAAGCTACTTGGTTACCTTTTTTTGCCTTGTGACACTATTATGCATAAAGGTGGTGCAGCCATGAACTTGGAGAATATTCAGCAGGTGGTCCCGAGAATGATGTGGTGGTTGGCATGCATTGTCAAGTTTTGGATCATACCTGATGATGGATGAGGGGCACCTCCTTTAACTACCTTGAATTTTCTGAAATGTGGATTCATCTGACTACATAGCTTTTTTCCATTCATCATCACTCCAGTGTGCATATTTCCTGGCAAACTGCAGACATTCCTTCTTCATATTAGGCATGAATAGATGATACCTTGCAGCACAATGACTTCACAAGTAGGGGTCTCTTTGCAGGTGGTATTAAAAAGAAAGGTCACCCAGGAGTTTAGGATGCATTTCTTCAAGTTGTGATGCAGTCATATGTGAATTTCTACATATTTCTCTGTATAGAATATTATCTATGTGTTTAGACATACTCCTTGGCTGTCCAGCATGAGGTTTTGTGGTGGGTTTAAAATCTGGTGTGAGGTCACAGGTGGCAGCAAGTACAGTACTGCCATTATACTGAACTTTGCTTGTCCAGTACGATCACAAAGTTCCTTTATGGTGACTTTTTCGTATCTCCAAACCAATACATATATTGTAAGGACTTTTTCCTCACAATTAATCTTTGAATGACATATTTATCCACTTGGCACAAAATTACTCTGCACTAAATACAACTCAAAACCCTGGGCACTTTGGGGTAGAGCAATGCAACAGCATAACAACTTACCTCGCTGCCATTCACAGGCACATAGAGAGGCGATACACACCACAGTCTTGTATTAACTCAGAATTGACAGATACCTCCAGAACCATTCAGCTGAAGTATGGCATCAAATATGCAACATAAATCCAGACTGCTTTTTACTGTTTATAACGGAGACGGGTTCAGATTATTTTGCAGGCACTGTACTTTTGTACAGTGCCTGGTCTTGGTAGATAAAGATACAGTGGTCCCTCACTTTTCGTAGTTCCCGGCAATTGTAAATTTCGCCAATCATAGGGTTATTTTCATATAAACATGGACTTGCTTTTCATAAGTTGACTCGGGAGTCGTAATTCGTCCCGGACGTGTACCCATGGCGTGAGCCGTGGCGGCAGCCAGTCTGGCATTGGTGAGCGAAGGTCCCCTCAGGTGCTCCAGCGAAATATTTCATCAATCCATTTATTTTAGTGCTTGCAAGTACTAAATAAGCTACCATGGCTCCAAAGAAAGCTCCTAGTGCCAAGCCTGTAGTAAAGGTGAGAAATACGACTGAATTTAAGAAAACCATCATTGAACAATATGAAAGTGGTACAAGTGTGGCCGAACTGTCCAGGATGTATAAGAAACCCTACACAACCTTATGTTCCATAGTGGCCAAGAAAAAGGAAATCAAGGATGCTGTTGTTGCAAAGGGGGTAACTATACTGACAAAAATGAGATCACCAGTACTCGAAGAGGTTGAGAAGTTATTATTGGTGTGGATAAATGAGAAACAATTAGCAGGAGATACTCTTATGACTTCGATTATTTGTGAAAAGGCTAGGCAGTTGCATGAAGATTTGGTAAAGAAATTGCCTGCAAATAGTGGTGATGTGAGTGAATTTAAGGCCAGCAAAGGCTGGTTTGAGAGATTTAAGAACCGTACTGGCATACACAGTGTGGTAAGGCATGGTGAGGCTGCCAGTTCAGACCACAAGGCAGCTGAAAAATATGTGCATGAATTCCAGGAGTACATAGAGGCTGAAGGACTGAAACCTGAACAAGTGTTCAATTGTGACAAAACAGGCCTCTTTTGGAAGAAAATGCCAAAGAGGACCTTCATTACACAAGAGGAAAAGGCAATGCCAGGACTCAAGCCTATGAAAGACAGGCTGACACTAATGTTCTGTGCTAATGCTAGTGGGGATTTCAAAGTGAAGCCATTACTAGTGTACCATTCAGAAAATCCCAGTGTTCAGGAAAAACAATGTTATGAAGAGTAAAATGTGTGTGTTTTGGAAATCTAATAGTAAGGCATGGGTCACGAGGGAAATTTTTGTCGAGTGGTTCAATGAAGTGTTTGGCCCTAGTGTGAAGGAGTATCTCCTGGAAAAGAAATTGGATCTCAAGTGCCTGCTAGTAATGGACAATGCACCTGCTCATCCTCCAAACTTGGATGACCTAATTTTTGAGGAGTTTGGGTTCATCACAGTAAAGTTCTTGCCCCCGAATACCACTCCTCTCCTCCAGCCCATGGACCAGCAGGTCATTGCAAACTTTAAAAAAAACTACACAAAAGCAATGTTTCACAGGTGCTTGACTGTGACCACAGACACTCACTTGGCCCTAAGGGAATTTTGAAGAGAACACTTCAGCATCATCCATTGCATAACCCTTATAGGTATGACTTGGGAGGAAGTGACTACCAGGACTTTGAACTCTGCCTGGAGAAAATTGTAGCCAGATTGTGTCGACAAGAGGGATGGATTTTGAAGGGTTTGGGACTGACCCTGATGAGCCTATGTCTGTTGTAAAATCAATTGTGGCACTGGGGAGTTCCATGAGGTTGGATGCGAGTTTGGAGGATGTGGAAGAATTGGAAGACCACAACGAAGAGCTCACCACTGAGGAGCTGCAAGAGCTTCAGCAGAAAGAGCAACACATCGCAGCTCAGAATCTTGCTGCAGAGGAGGAGGAAGAGAGATGGAAGAAGGTGCCTTCTTCAGAAATTAAAAAGATTTTTACTATGTGGGGTAAGATGGAAAGCTTTATGGAGAAACATCACCCTAACAAGGTTGTTGCAAGCCATGTTGGCAACATGTACAGTGACAAAGTCTTGGGCCATTTTAGGGAAGTGTTAAAGAGACGCCAGAAACAGAGCTCTCTCCACAGTTATTTTGCAAGACAGGACTCCATTGACTTTCAAGGTGGTCCTAGTGGCATTAAGAAACAGAACACAAGCAACCCCAGAAAAGCAATTGGTACCTGAGGTGTTGCTGGAAGGCCCCTTCCAAACTATAAACAATCCACTCTCTCCTCCTCTAGTCTCCCATACACTAAAAAGAATCCCCAATGAAGGTAAGTGTTATTTATGCTGTTAATATTTAATTCATCATTTCCCATTGTATTGTTTATGTACTACATGTATATTTCATGTAAAAAAAATTTTTTGTTTTAATACTTCTGGGTGTCAGGAACGGATTAATTGTATTTACATTATTTCTTGTGGGGAATGATTTGTAAATCGTAAATTTCGTTTATAGTAACGGCTCCAGGAACGGATTAATTATGAAAAACGAGGGACCACTGTATACTGTATTGATTTTGTAATACAGCCTCTCCTCAATCGCTGACATGCAGTCTTACTGATGCCTCGAACTTATGACAGCTCTCTGACCATTATTCATACCTAAATAATGTACATATATTAGAGCTGATTTCCTCTATTCTGTTTATTTCAATATACAGTACACTACTGTATAAACATTTAAAAATACATGTATACCAGAAATTTTAAAAATGGTGCAAAGGTGACATTAAAACAATAACAAAGACGGTTGACACACTCATTACCGTTATAGTATGCTCCTCACTTAGCGACGAATTCATTTAACGACGTGGTCTTAGGAATGGAACTCCATTGTTAAGTGAGGAGAAGCTGTAATATGTTTAAAATTATTGGTGCTTTTATACCTACAAATCAAATTGAAAATATATACAGTGGAATCTCAGTTTTCATATGCCTTACTTTGTATGTAAAACTATAGTTCTACTCTATAAAATGTATTTTTTGTTAATATTTCCCATTAGAAATAATGTAAATCCAATTAATCCATTCCAGACACCCAAAAATATTAACAGAAAATGCATTTTATAGAGATTAACTATAGTTTTACATACAAACCAGGGCATACGAAAACCGAGGTTTCACCGTACAGTCATTCTTTGCCTCAACCGATGAATTTTTTGTTTACAATTTTAGTACACCTCAGTTTTGTCATCTTGATATTGATATTAAATAATTTTTTAATGTAATTCACATTGCAGATTGCTATGGCTTCTTTGTTTGATGATACTGTGAACAATCTAAATGCCATTGTTCGAAGTGCTCCAGAGCGACCTAACTCGGTGAAGTCTCAAGTGTTTGCTAAACTAATCGATGGGATTCGTACTGACTTTTGTATCATTGTTTATAGGTGAGACAGGTTATTCCATAACTTTTGGGCTTTCTTGTACTGCTGTATGTATTGTATAAAACAAACATTTTATTTCCTTGTGCAGTATAATACATGTAGTTTACATGTAATAAAATATTGTTAAACACAAAAGAAAGCCACTAGCATGCATGTCATTTCAAGCAGACTAATCCTAATGCTTACAGACTACTTAAAACTAGACATGAATAAAATGTATACTATAGTGTACAGCGTATGTTATAATAGAACTGTTATATTATTATGCATCTCTTATATGCTTATGATATTTTATACTGTGCAGTATAAAGGATAAAGTATTTTATTTCTTTGCATAGTTTACAATGTGTAATTACAATTTTAATTTGCTAAGTACAGAGAAAGCCACTATCATGCCATGACATTTTGGGCAGACTAAAGTATGAAGCAGTTTTAATTTTTATTTGAACATTTTTAACTTTTTCACAAATATCCTGGACTTAGAAGAGGAAACTTGTATTTTGGTTCATCCTGGACCATTGTGGTTTGATGGTGATCCTGGACAGAACGAAATCTCATGAGTTTCCTGTGTGGGAGTTATTTGTGATTTGTTCCAGCTACAGTATTGTAACTTTTTATTCTTTTATTTTAACTTTAAAATTGTTAGTGAAGGAGTTAATTTCATTTTGTATCTCATGGTTTTTTCTAGTAGTCGCTGTATACAAATTGCCATAAATTTGTCTACTCTCCAATTGAACATTAAAATGGTATAAAATACCGACAGGTTGTTAGGTAAGACACATATGCAACAGTTAGGTATCTTTATTTCGAAACGTTTCGCCTACACAGTAGGCTTCTTCAGTCGAGTACAGAAAAGTTGATAGAAGCAGAAGATACTTGAAGTATCTTCTGCTTCTATCAACTTTTCTGTACTCGACTGAAGAAGCCTACTGTGTAGGCGAAACGTTTCGAAATAAAGATACCTAACTGTTGCATATGTGCCTTACCTACTCTCCAATTATCAAATTCTTCTTCAATGTGTGTATTCTCACACATTGAGTTGTTAGGCAAGACACTTATGCAACAGTTAGGTATCTTCATTTCGAAACATTTCACTTGCACAGTAGGCTTCTTCAGTCGACAGCGCTGTATAGCCCTTGTGGTTTAGCGCTTCTTTTTGATTATAATAATAATACTTCTTCAGTCGAGTGCAGAAAAGTTGGTAGAAGAAAGAGATGTGAAGACGATGTAATCAGTCCATCACCCTTGAAGATCTAGTTTAGAGGTGGTCAGTCCCTCAGCCCGGAGAAGAGTATTTATTCCATAGTCTGAAGCAATGTGAAGTTGAAGTGACAGTATGGAGCCTTATATACTGTCAGGAGGTGAGATGTAGGCCGTTAGTAGAAGCAGGGATGTAATCATTGAGAGGTCACGTCCCTCTCAAATCCAACCATTCTCACTAATAGAAGTTGTCCAAGGAGTTTTCTGTTCTGTACCAAGATACCATTGTGTTGCAGTGAATATTAAAATGGTGTAAAATATTGACAGGTTGTTAGGTAAGACACACGTGCAACAGTTAGGTATCTTCATTTTGAAGATACCTAACTGTTGCATATGTGTAGGCATATGTGCAGGCGAAACATTTCGAAATAAAGATGCTTAACTGTTGCATGTGTTTCTTACCTAACAACCTTTCTGTATTTTATACCATTTTAATCACACATTGAGTTATTTCATGTACTATCTAATGTTAACCCTACCTATCTCTCGTATAGATCTACATCATTGTGGCCATTGTCACATGGCACTCTGGAATATTCTGTGATTGGTACATTTTGGCCTAGACATGCAGTGCATGTCTAGGCCAAAATGTGTTTTGATTAAAATAGCAAATTTTTAGGTGTTTCTAGGGTGGTTTTTATGGTTTTATTGACTGTTCATTCGTGTCAGTAGACAGTTCAGATGACATGATATTGAAATAGAGATGATTTTGGTTGGTTTCAGACTGGAAATGGCCTGAAATAGACCTCAAAGTAGCAGAAATATTTGATATTTGGTAATTTTTCTGAGTCAAGGTTGGGGCCCTTTAATCCATTCCCCCCCAGTCTGTCTTGTGGGTTCTTACTAGGTCTGCTTCACTTACTTGGATGGCTTCCAATCATTCTTAGCTGAGAAATAGGGTGGGTGGATGGATACAGTCTCCTGGGACCATTATAGGGTAGTTCTGATAGTTAAATGGGCAATTTCTTTTGCTCAATCAATAGAACAGGTGTACTAGTGAAATAGTCAGGGATTGGTGTAAACGAGGCCTCAAAGTGGGCAAAATTGCAGTTGTGTGAAGTTTCCCAAGATATTTTGTCATGTCATTACCTTTATAAAAAGATTCTGTACCATTTCAGAAGATCAGATTATTATTTTTTTAAAAATCACAATACTGTCAGAATTTTTATTTTTGGGGGTCACAGCAGAGGAGGGCAAAGTGCCTGGATGGATTGTTGCTTGAATGACCCGTGCTGTCATTAGACCTTTAACCTAACTAACCAACTATTTTCTAGCATTGTTCTGTACTGTATTGATTACCTGTTTTAACCATTTTTACCAGCACAGTTGTAAGAGATAGATGTGTTAACCCTTTGATGGTCCAAGCCGTAGATCTACACCTTGTCCAGAGGATCCAAGAATTTAAAAAAAAAAATGTTATTTTTTCTTATGAAATGGTAGAGAAACTTTTTCTGAAGGTAATAAAATGAGTATGAAATTTGATGGAAAATTGATGAAATTACACTCGTGAATTTTACTGCATCAGCGATATTTACTCATCGGCGATTTTTGCCCAATTTGACTCCTATTTCAAAATAGGGTCCAGAATAAACAATGCAGGCATTCCTGGCACTAAAATAACATTTCTTCTGTTTATTAGTTATGTTTCCAGGCTTTACAGATGAATTCCATTTTGATTTGTTACTTACATAAATTTACATAAAGATTTTTTATTCACACCAAAAAATAGAAGATTTATGCAATATTGTAATAATTGTATAAATAATATCAGTGCATTCGTGAATGCATATTAGACTCGCCAGTTGGACACGTATTGGACTTGACGTGATTTGTTTGCTTTTGAATATCAGCAAAAATCGAACATTTCCACTAGGAGCTAAATTTCAAGCTATTTTCAGTCCTGAAGCCAGTCAGAATTATCTATTTCTGTAATATATCTCCCATTCTGTCAAATGAGACCAAGAATACAGTCATTAAAACCATATGAAAATACACTGCAAAGTTACTGTTTTAAACCAAAAACATTATGCACTGCATGCTATAGGAATTTATGTGGTGCACACTTACTGCATAGACCCATTCTCTCGTCTAGGCCCAAATTTACCACTTACAGCTTATCTGAGTGAGCTGAGCTCATGGCATAGCACTAAGGCATGAAATAGTTAATAAACGAGGCAAGTTATGAAAGTTATATATATTTTCAAACGAGTAATTTTTAGTCAATTGGCTAATTACCTAAAAAAAAGTTCACTGACCTCTGTCCTTGATGCTAAGAGATGCATTATGGAAAAAAAAATACTTGGAAAGTATTTTTCCTCTTTAATTCAAATTTTGACAGAAATATCAGACACCATTGGCCTGTAAACATGAAGTCAACATGATTTAGTAAACAGAATACAAAATACAATATGTTGATGGTATTTACAATTGAATAATATATTTAATTTTTTTTTCTTCTTCTTCTTCCAACAAACCGGCCGTATCGCACCAAGGCAGGGTGGCCCCAAAAAAAAAAAACTAAAGTTTCTCTTTTTAAATTTAGTAATTTATACAAGAGAAGGGGTTACTAGCCCCTTGCCCCCGGCATTTTAGTCGCCTCTTACAACACGCTTGGCTTACGGAGGAAGAATTCTATTCCACTTCCCCATGGAGATGAGAGGAAATAAACAAGAACTAGAAAGAAAATAGAAAACCCAGAGAGTTGTGTATATATATGCTTGTACATGTATGCGTACATGTACATGAGGCGTGGAGTTAAAAGATAAAGAATCACACACAAAGTGGGAGTTGTCACAGCTGCTCTTTGCTGATGACACTGTGCTCTTGGGAGATTCTGAAGAGAAGCTGCAGAGATTGGTGGATGAATTTGGTAGGGTGTGCAAAAGAAGAAAATTAAAGGTGAATACAGGAAAGAGTAAGGTTATGAGGATAACAAAAAGATTAGGTGATGAAAGATTGAATATCAGATTGGAGGGAGAGAGTATGGAGGAGGTGAACGTATTCAGATATTTGGGAGTGGACGTGTCAGCGGATGGGTCTATGAAAGATGAGGTGAATCATAGAATTGATGAGGGAAAAAGAGTGAGTGGTGCACTTAGGAGTCTGTGGAGACAAAGAACTTTGTCCTTGGAGGCAAAGAGGGGAATGTATGAGAGTATAGTTTTACCAACGCTCTTATATGGGTGTGAAGCGTGGGTGATGAATGTTGCAGCGAGGAGAAGGCTGGAGGCAGTGGAGATGTCATGTCTGAGGGCAATGTTTGGTGTGAATATAATGCAGAGAATTCGTAGTTTGGAAGTTAGGAGGAGGTGCGGGATTACCAAAACTGTTGTCCAGAGGGCTGAGGAAGGGTTGTTGAGGTGGTTCAGACATGTAGAGAGAATGGAGCGAAACAGAACGACTTCAAGAGTGTATCAGTCTGTAGTGGAAGGAAGGCGGGGTAGGGGTCGGCCTAGGAAGGGTTGGAGGGAGGGGGTAAAGGAGGTTTTGTGTGCGAGGGGCTTGGACTTCCAGCAGGCATGCGTGAGCGTGTTTGATAGGAGTGAATGGAGACAAATGGTTTTTAATACTTGACGTGCTGTTGGAGTGTGAGCAAAGTAACATTTATGAAGGGATTCAGGGAAACCGGCAGGCCGGACTTGAGTCCTGGAGATGGGAAGTACAGTGCCTGCACTCTGAAGGAGGGGTGTTAATGTTGCAGTTTAAAAACTGTAGTGTAAAGCACCCTTCTGGCAAGACAGTGATGGAGTGAATGATGGTGAAAGTTTTTCTTTTTCGGGCCACCCTGCCTTGGTGGGAATCGGCCAGTGTGATAATAAAAAAAAAAAAAATAAAAAAACATGTATGCGTAGTGTGACCTAAGTTTAAGTAGAAATAGCAGGATGTACCTGAAATCTTGCATGTTTATGAGACAGAAAAAAGGACACCAGCAATCATACCATCATGTAAAACAATTACAGGCTTTCGTTTTACTCACTTGGCAGGACGGTAGTACCTCCCTGGGCGGTTGCTGTCTACCAACCTACTACCTAGATTTAATTTGTTCTAATTGCATTTTTTCCTTATATGACTTGGGTAACATTTTGCACCTTTTTTCTTTAAATAAATTAATATGTAAACAGATTTTACTAAGTATTTTTTATCAATTTTTGTCCACGTGCACTTATTTTTGTGTGGATCAGCATTGGTATGTGGTACAGTGTGTGCTCATTTTTTTTATTAAGTCTGGATTTTTTTTAAATTCTGATGACATTTTACTGCTTAGTACTGTATTTCAGTTTAAATTCTGTAGTCTTTTGCTGTTATTCTTTGACGTAATGTATTTTTTATGGTAAATATGCATTTGACAGTGACGTGTATGACTTGCTTATATTTTTTGGAAGAGTAAGTGAAGACTACTTTTTTCTAGTTTCTGGTGAGAATTCTTTATTATAGATTACTGTATTTTCTTATTTTTTTGGAATAAATGCTTTTTTTGTTCACGATCATTTGGTGGCTATGTTTTGTTTTAAATCTGCTGAGATACAGGAAATTATTTTCATTTTGTGCAAGCTATTAATGAAAACTCCTTTAAGAGGTCATTAAGCAGGGTACAAGTGATTGCTAAGAAAACTTGCTCCCTAATGTATCACTTATTGCTAAGTGAAATTACACTTAAGAGAATGATTTCTAGGTCTTTGTTTAAAATTAATTTGCTCATCATTCAGCTGCACCAATGGAAAGACAAATATTTTGACAACATTGTTAATAAGATAAATTTAATGTATGCAATGTTATCTCAAATGACTGATAATGTTTATTATTTACAGTAACAGGGTATTTGTGATTGTCACACAGTGTATGAAGATCGGCAACTTGTACAGTGTTCGTCAAGATTCCACACAGAAAGACGGGATTTTTTCTGCAAGTGCTCTGTTTATATATGAGATTAAGTAAGTCATGCTAATACTTATTTTAACTTTAAGTTCCAGGCAGCCACTGTGGAAAACTCTGTTCCACAACACACAGTACTCTCTCCCATTCTATTCCTCATCCTCATTTCTGACATACAGAGATGTAAGCCATAGCTCCGTGTCTTCCATTGCGGATGACACCTGGATTGCCATGGAAGTGACCTCCATCGAAGACACTACGAGACTGCAAGCGGACATCAGCCAGATCTTCAAATGGGTCACTCAAAACAATATGAAGTTCAATGAGGAGAAATTTCAACTACTCAGAAATGGAAAACTTGAAATTAAAAATGTATCAGGGTATACAACAAATTCTAATCATACAATAGAGCAAAAAAGGAATGTGAAGGACCTGGGAGTGATAATGTCAGAGGATCTCACCTTCAACGACTGCAGTAGTGTATCTACCTCATCGGCTAGGATAGGATGGATAATGAGAACCTTCAAAACTAGGGATGCCAAGCCCATGATGACACACTTCAAATCGCTTGTTCTCTCTAGGCTGGAATACTGCTGTACACTAACAGCCCTCTTCAAGGCTGGCGACATTGCTGACCTGGAGAGCGTACAAAGAACTTTCACAGCACACACACGTATGATAAGGCACCTAAATTACTGGGCACAGTTGAAGGTCCTTGATCTGCATATCCTAGAATACATGCGAGAGAGATAAATGATAATATACACTTGGAAGGTCCTGGAGGGATTGGTACCAAACCTGCATACGAAGTCACTCCCCATGAAAGCAAAAGACTAGGCAGGAGATGCAACATTTCCCCGATGAAAAGCAAGGGTGCCACGAGTACATTAAGAGCCAGCAAAATAAGTGTCCGGGATCCATGACTGTTCAATTGCCTCCCCGCATACATAAGGGGGATTACCAGTAGACCCCTGGCTGTCTTCAAGAAGGCACTGGGCAGGCACCTAAAGTCAGTACCTGACCAACCGGGCTGTGGTTCATATGTCTGTTTGTGTGTGGCTGGCAGTAGCAGCCTGGTTGATCAGACCCTGATCCACCATGAGGTCTGGTCTCAGACCGAGCTGCGGGGGCATTTACCCCCCAAAACCCTCTCCAGGTAAACTTTATATATATAATAATTTTTTTTTTTTTTTTAACAAGTCGGCCGTCTCCCACCGAGGCAGGGTGACCCAGAAAAGAAAGAAAATCCCCAAAAAGAAAATACTTTCATCATTCAATACTTTCACCTCACTCACACATAATTACTGTTTTTGCAGAGGTGCTCAGAACACAACAGTTTAGAAGCATATACCTATAAAGATACACAACATACCCCTCCAAACTGCTAATATCCCGAACCCCTCCTTTAGAGTGCAGGCATTGTACTTCCCATTTCCAGGACTCAAGTCCGGCTATATAAAAATAACCGGTTTCCCTGAATCCCTTCACTAAATATTACCCTGCTCACACTCCAACAGATCGTCAGGTCCCAAATACCATTCATCTCCATTCACTCCTATCTAACACGCTCACGCACGCTTGCTGGAAGTCCAAGCCTCTCGCCCACAAAACCTCCTATACCCCATCCCTCCAACCTTTTCGAGGATGACCCCTACCCCGCCTTCCTTACTCTACAGATTTATATGCTCTCCATGTCATTCTACTTTGATCCATTCTCTCTAAATGACCAAACCACCTCAATAAGCCCTCTGACTAATACTTTTATTAACTCCACACCTTCTCATTTCCATACTCCGAATTTTCTGCATAATATTTACACCACACATTGCCCTTAGACAGGACATCTCCACTGCCTCCAACTGCCTCCTCGCTGCTGCATTCACAACCCAAGCTTTACACCCACATAAGAGTGTTGGTACTACTATACTTTCATACATTCCCTTCTTTGCCTCCATAGATAACGTTTTTTTGTCTCCACATATACCTCAACGCACCACTCGCCTTTTTTCCCCTCATCAATTCTATGATTAACCTCATCTTTCATAAATCCATCCGCCAACACGTCAACTCCCAAGTATCTGAAAGCATTCACTTCTTCCATACTCCTCCTCCCCAATTTGATATCCAATTTTTCTTTATCTAAATCATTTGATACCCTCATCACCTTACTCTTCTATTTTCACTTTCAACTTTCTACTTTTACACACACTCCCAAACTCATCCACTAACCTTTGCAATTTTTCCTTAGAATCTCCCATGAGCACAGTATCATCAGCAAAAAGCAACTGTGTCAATTCCCATTTTGTATTTGATTCCCCATAATTTAATCCCACCCCTCTCCCGAACACCCTAGGATTTACTTCTTTTACAACCCCATCTATAAATATATTAAACAACCATGGTGACATTACACGTCCCTGTCTAAGACCTACTTTTACTGGGAAGTAGTCTCCCTCTCTTCTACACACTCTAACTTAAGCCTCGCTATCCTCATAAAAACTGTTTACAGCATTTAGTAACTTACCACCTATTCCATATACACCTACCATCCGACTTACGACCGAGTTCGGTTCCGAGAAACCGGTCGTAAGTCGAACTTTACTACTGAATATCAACAAAACATTTTTGTAATGACTTTATTTTATTGTTTTATTTGGTATTTCATGTTTTACTTTACTTTTTATGTTGTTAGTACTGTATTTTATACTGTAAGGTTTAGGATAAACACTGTGTACAACACAAATAGTTGTTTATTTCCCAGAAATTTGGCATAAAAAACACGGTCGTAAGTCGAGTGGTCATAAGTCGAGCAGGTCGTAAGTCGGATGGTAGGTGTACTTGCAACATCTGCCACATTGCTCCCCGATCCACTCTGTCATATGCCTTTTCTAAATCCATAAATGCAATAAAAACTTCCCTACCTTTATCTAAATACTGTTCACATATATGCCTCAATGTAAACACTTGATCTACACATCCTCTACCCACTCTGAAACCTCCTTGCTCATCCGCAATCCTACATTCTGTCTTGCCTCTAATTCTTTCAATTATAACCCTACCGTACCCTTTTCCTGGTATACTCAGTAAACATATTCCTCTATAATTTTTACAGTCTCTCTTGTCCCCCTTCCGTTTTTATAAGGGGACTATACATGCTCACTGCCAATCCCTAGGTACCTTCCCCTCTTTCATACATTTATTAAACAAAAATACCAACCACTCCAACACTATATCCCCCCCTGATTTTAACATTTCTGTCATGATCCCATCAGTTCCAGCTGCTTTAACCCCTTTCATTCTACGTAATGCCTCATGCACCTCCCCAACACTCGCATCCTGTTCTTCTTCACTCCTAAAAGATAATATACCTCCCTTTCCAGTGCATGAAATTACTGCTTCCCTTTCTTCGTTCACATTTAAAAGTTCCTCAAAATATTCTCGCCATCTACCCAAAACCTCCATCTCCCCATCTACTAACTCCCCTACTCTATTTTTAACTGACAAATCCATTCGTTCTCTAGGCTTTCTTAACTTGTTTAACTCACTCCAAAATTTTTTCTTATTTTCATTAAAATTCCTTGACAGTGCCTCTCCCACTCTATCATCTGCACTCTCTCACCACTCTCTTCACCTTTCTTTTACTCTCCATATACTGTGGTAGTAGGTTGGTAGACAGCAACCACCCAGGGAAGTACTACCGTCCTGCCAGATGACTGTGAAACAGAAACCTGTAACTGTTTTGCATGATGGTAGGATTGCTGGTTTCTTCTTCTGTCTCATAAACACGCTAGATAACAGGGATATCTTCCTACTCCTACTTACACTTTGGTCACACTTCACAGACACGCACATGCATATATATATATACATACATCTAGGTTTTTCTCCTTTTTCTAAATAGCTCTTGTTCTTCTTTATTTCTTCTATTGTCCATGGGGAAGTGGAAAAGAATCTTTCCTCTGTAAGCCATGTGTGTCGTATGAGGCGACTAAAATGCCGGGAGCAATGAGCTGGTAACCCCTCCTGTAGACATTTACTAAAAAAGAGAAGAAGAAAAACTATAAAACTGGGATGCTTGAATGTGCGTGGATGTAGTGCGGATGACAAGAAACAGATGATTGCTGATGTTATGAATGAAAAGAAGTTGGATGTCCTGGCCCTAAGCGAAACAAAGCTGAAGGGGGTAGGGGAGTTTCGGTGGGGGGAAATAAATGGAATTAAATCTGGAGTATCTGAGTGTGTTAGAGCAAAGGAAGGGGTAGCAGTAATGTTGAAGGATCAGTTATGGAAGGAGAAAAGAGAATATGAATGTGTAAATTCAAGAATTATGTGGATTAAAGTAAAGGTTGGATGCAAAAAGTGGGTCATAATAAGTGTGTATGCACCTGGACAAGAGAGGAATGTAGAGGAGAGAGAGAGATTTTGGGAGATGTTAAGTGAATGTATAGGAGCCTTTGAACCAAGTGAGAGTGTGGTAGGGGACCTGAATGCTAAACTAGGAGAAACTTTTAGAGAGGGTGTGGTAGGTAAGTTTGGGGTGCCAGGTGTAAATGAAAATGGGAGCCCTTTGATTGAACTTTGTATAGAAAGGGGTTTAGTTATAGGTAATACATATTTTAAGAAAAAGAGGATAAATAAGTATACAAGATATGATGTAGGGCAAAATGACAGTAGTTTGTTGGATTATGTATTGGTAGATAAAAGACTGTTGAGTAGACTTCAGGATGTACATGTTTACAGAGGGGCCACAGATATATCAGATCACTTTCTAGTTGTAGCTACACTGAGAGTAAAAGGTAGATGGGATACAAGGAGAATAGAAGCATCAGGGAAGAGAGAGGTGAAGGTTATAAAACTAAAAGAGGAGGCAGTTAGGGTAAGATATAAAACAGCTATTGGAGGATAGATGGGTTAATGAGAGCATAGGCAATGGGGTCAAAGAGGTATGGGGTAGGTTTAAAAATGTAATGTTAGAGTGTTCAGCAGAAGTTTGTGGTTACAGGAAAGTGGGTGCGGGAGGGAAGAGGAGCGATTGGTGGAGTGATGATGTAAAGAGAGT